GCGCAGTCACCAGGAGAAAAAGCTCTTCATTCTTTAGATGTAGTTTGGGCTGTCAGAATTTACTTAAGGTTATCTGCACAGATCGGGCTGCTGGAAGGGTCAGGTGGCATCTAAAGCAACTATTTTCCAATGGATCCACCAGTTAATCATTCAAGCCTATGGCTAGAAAGGAAAGGCTACACCTTTCTGGGTAAAAGCACGCTCTACCAGGAGTGTGGGAGCATCTTGGGCTATTCGCCATCATGTGTCCGTGGCTCATGTCTTCAAGGGTGCAACCTGGTCTTCTGTAAATATATTCACAAGATTTTACCAGGTAGATATGAGAGCCACGGAGGATACTGCATTTGGCTGCAGTGTGTTATGGGCAGCAGAGTACATTCCTTAGGATTGATGGTGACTTTTTTGAAAGTGTCACCCTCCCCTCACGTGGATTGCTTTGGAACATCCCAGATAGTCATGATTATAGCCTGCTCTGTGCCCATGATGTACAATAAAGAAAACTGGATTTTTTGTACTTGCTTGTAAAATCCATTTCTTGGAGTACATCACGGGACATAGAGGTCCCTACCCTCTTTCTGGAAGTTCATTGCTTGCTACAAAATCGATGTGCTTCCTGTATGGGAGGGGTTATATAGGGGAGGACTTCCTGTCTGTTTTGGTTAGCCAGTGTCCATTCACCTATAGGTGGCGCATAACCCAGAATATTATGATTATAGCCTGCTCTGTGTCCCGTGATGTACTCCAAGAAATGGATTTTTACAGGTAAGTACAAAATCCAGATTTTTTTTTCTGTGCAAGGCCCTGCCACTGAGATGCAGTGTGTGAATGGTAGCTGGTCAGCATTTTAATGCTGGAATAGAACAAACCCTAAGGTCCCTTTTAGGCTTTTAAATGGGAGTGCAACATAACACACATAAACACCTTTTTCATGTACTCCCATTAAAGTCTAGGGGGCCAAGAATGTGCGAATCTTGCCCAAAAGAAGCTTTGTACTTTTTTAAGTTTCATGCAACAGGTGCCAAGTGACACAGCGCTCAGGTGTGGTTAGACCCCTTTGAGAATAATGATTCTTCAACTTGCTATGCTGCTTCCCTCACACTTGTTTCAAAGATTTGAAGAGGAAATTCACGCTGAAATCCTGCACTATGCTGAAACTGTGTCCATTAGTTGTGGCTGTGGCTGTGGCATGGCCCCGTTTACTTTTAAGGGGTGTGTGTGGAGGTATCATTTTCCGAACTTGACATTCTTTTTTCTTGGCCTGATGCAAATTGTAAAATTGTACAGGATAATTTCACTAAAGGCTATCCTCTAACCATCCCCTAAAATAAGCCCCTAACCCCTAAAAGGTGCACTTAAAGAGAGTCTGAACTGAAGAAGCTGGGCCGAAAAAAGACAAGCAGAGGTCAAATAACTAGTTGTCAGTTTTGGCTGTGGTCTCTCTTAAGTTGATCTTTTTCTCATTACTGATTAACCATGCCTTGTTCTGAGCTGTGTCTCTTAGTGGGGACAATCATTTTTGGTAGAGGAGCAGGGTTTTGCTTCCTTAAAGCAGAGTTTCCACCAAAGGGGAAGTTTCACCTTAAATACTGATCCCCTGCTCCCCATTAAGGATTGGCACCTTTGGGAAGTGGGTACCCGAATTTGACAGGTACCCGCTCCCACTTCTGCTGTGATCGCCTAGGTGATGGGAAGCAGAACTTGTCCTCCTGCCCTTCCTCCCTGTAGTCTTCTGGGACACGTGACAGGTCCCAGAAGACTACGGAGCCATTCAGGAAGCCCAGCGCTACTCGCGCATGCGCAGTGGGCACCCGACTGTGAAGCCGCAAGCTGTCACAGCCGGGTGCCCACACTGAAGATGCCGGCGCCTCAAACACAGGACGGCTGGTGAAACAGGCTTCGGGGAGGGCACCGCGGGATCGTGGGACAGGTGAGTGGCTATTTTTTAAAAGTTAGCAGCTACAGTTTTTGTAGCTGCTGACGTTAATTTTTTTACAGTGTGAGTGGACCTCCTTATTAAGTCAGAAAAGCAGGAAAGATGGAGATAGCACAAATCCACATAATGAATCGGTCAAGAGCAGGAAGATTCTTGCATTGCAGGTCCTCAGCTACAGTTCTGTCTCCAGCATGCCCCTCAGTTAAGGGGCAACCGTGGATTTAAACTAACTGTGCTGTTTGCCCCCAAGGCACACTCAGATTCAAACACCACACTTCTGCAGTGCACCATCTACCCCACCACTGCAACACTGAGCTCAGAGCTATTGCGACAGATGAGATACAGTGCATTTTTGGGAATCCGAGAGAGAGAGTGCCCTTCTGTAATGTGGAAGCGAGCATTAACGGCTCAAGAGCTGGCATAGAGGTGTCCTGGCAACAGGGCTGACTGTGAAAGGCAAGCTATGGGAATTTTGTGGGCATCCTGGATGGGTGAAAATGGCCTACAACAAAAGCTGTATTCAATATTGTTCACAACAGCACAGTTAGTTTTTTCTTATTATTATACAGGATTTATATAGCGCCAACAGTTTGCGGAGCGCTTTACAAAATGAAGGTAGACATTACAGTGGAAACAGAGGGCCCTGCTTGTTAGAGCTTATAATCTAGGAGGATGGTGCCCCTTGACTGTATAGGCATTTTTATGTAAAGATGAATTAACCCTTTAACTTAAACACTAATTAAACCTTCTACTAAATCATATTGCTTATACTCACTTATTCCGGTGCCAGGAGCCTCTGCAGTGATAGGAAACAGTCCTGCTTCAAGATCATGCATCTCTAGGTTCTGGCACCAGTAGTAACCAATACTTCATTTTCAAAGATACTGAACTTAGTCTTTTTCCCTTTCAGTTAATTACATTTATTTGGTCATTGTTCCTTCTATGGAATGTATCATTTTAGACAGCAATAGCTTGATAGGATTGTGGTTCATATGGAAGATCATGAGAAAAGGATGGTGAAATTACGTGTACTGCATTATATTTTCTTGCCTGGCAGACATGAAGGCAGCTGTGAACATGGTGCGTCAATCTGTGTTAGATGTACTATCCAGAATGAAATGAGTGGCTAAATCTAATAAATATGTAATTTACTGTGAAGCAGACTCTTTAATGCTGGATAACATTACCTTGGATAAAGTACAATTAGGCAGGGTGGAGTGCCAATATTCTTGTGCAATGTATACTCCAACCAATAAATAAAGCAGAAGAAAGTCTAATTACAACCAGCTGTGAAATGGCTAGAACTACTGTCAGGCATTGCACATTCAGTACTGGTGGCATCTATCTACAGTAATATTTTTGTTACACAAAATAGTCATTTTGTGACCTAGGTTAAAGTAGCACTTTTTTTTTTTTTTGTTAGAGGGAAACCTACAGAAATAAAAGCCTGACAGAGTCTGTTATCTGCTACGTGCAAAGCTGAAAAAGAGTTTGAACTAGAGTACCACTTTAAACAATATGTGCACTTTTACTTTTTATCAACTGCCCACATTATTTTTAGAAAACTGTAGTGTATTTATAGTGTATGATAATCGTATGGCAGAATAGTAAAACGTAATTTTGAAAGTCCTTCACATTTTTGCATGTATTCTGTGCACTATTTTTATAATTGTTCTTACATTTGCATGGTTTTCATGTAGTGGGGCTGTTTGGAAATATGTAGAAGTGGCCTAGAACTTCCAACAGAGCCAGCTGTTTAATTTTAAACCAAGTTGCAGCTGTGAGCTTGTCTGCTATGTGGTGAAGGATACATTTTTTTTGTAGCCAAAGGGTTAAAGGCATAGTTCACTGTTACCAAAGAACTGCCTTACAGATAAGGGGCACCTGTAGATAAAATTAAATCATGCAGCTTTGACCAACATTAAATAATGCCCTTACTATAAGTGTAGGCCACTTACATACCTCCCAAATCCTGACTGAAAACCCCTCAGAGATTACATCATTCCATCATGCCTTGTTGAAAGGATGTTGCTAAGACACTCCTATTTGTTACTGTTCACCTCCACCATCACAGGAAAAAAAGTGAAGGACACAGTGGACATTGGTCACTGCCGCTCTCTTTCATTGTGCAGGGTGACTAGTCTTGCCACCGCCGCCCATCTCTCTGCCCTTTCCCATAGTTTTCTGCAGGCAGCCTGTAGTGTGTAGGTTCTTATGTGCTCCTTCCCCAACTCTGCCCTCTGCATAGGCTATGTACAGCACAGTGATGAAGCCACCACTACTTTTACAAGGTATTATCTACAAAGGCAACTGGTGGACACAACATAGTTTATATCTTTAGTGACTACTAAGGAATATATTTAAATAAAAGTTTTTGTTACTGGAGTTCAGCTATAAGTCTCTATCCTGCTGTACATTGGAGTTCTCCCACTTCCCCTAAAAGGGAAAGCCGCTCTTAGGATCAACCTAAACCTTAAATTGTGGCTCAATCTCTTTCCCTGAAAAAGACCCTTGTTTGTTGGGAAGTAGACAAATCCCTGGAAGGGGTGCAACGTGGACCAAGCTCTCAGGTTCATATGGTGTTTCTCTCCTCTAGTTCCCATAGTTATAACCCTTCCCGTAGCTATAACAGCTTAAACTCTTCTGTGAAGGCCGTCCACAAGGTTTAGGAGTGTGTCTATGGGAATGTTTGACCATTCTTCTAGAAGCTCATTTATGAGGTCAGGCACTAATGTTGGATGAGAAGGCCTGGCTCACAGTCTCTGCTCTAATTCATCCCAAAGGTGTTCTGTCAGGTTGAGGTCAGGACTCTGTGCAGGCCAGTCAAGTTCCTCCACCCCAAACTTACTCATCCATGTGTTTATGGACCTTGCTTTGTGCACTGGTGCTCAGTCATGTTGGAACAAGAAGGGGCCATCCCCAAACTGTTCCCACAAAGTTGGGAGCAAGAAACTGTCTAAAATGTTTTGCTATGCTGATGCCTTAAGAGTTCCCTGCACTGGAACTAAGGGGCCATGCCCAACCCCTGAAAAACAACCCAACACCATAGTCCCTCCTCCTCCAAACTTTACACTTGGCACAATGCAGTCAGTCAAGTACTGTTCTGGCAACCACCAAACCCAGACACGTCTATCGGATTGCCAGACAGAGAAGAGTGATTCGTCACTCCAGAGAACAGGTCTCCACTGCTCTGAAGTCTAGTGGCGGTGTGCTTTACACCATTGCATCTGATGTTTTGCATTGTACTTGGTGATTTAAAGCCTGGATGCAACTGCTTGGCCATGGAAACCCATTCAATGAAGCTCTCTATGCACTGTTGTGCTAATCTGAAGGACACATGAAGTTTGGTGGTCTGCAGACAGTTGGCAACTTCTGTGCACTGCATGCTTCAGCATGTGCTGACACTGCTCTGTCATTTTAAGTGGCCTACCACTTCATGGCTGAGTTGCTGTTGTTCCCAGTTGCTTGCACTTTATTACAATACCACTAACAGTTGACCATGGATATATTAATAGCAAGGAAATTTCAAGGATGGACTTATTGCACAGTTGGCAACCTATCATGGTACCAGACCTGAATTCACTGAGCTCCTGAGAGCGACCCATACATTCACAAATGTTTGTAGAAGCAGTCTGCATGCCTAGGTGCTTGATTTTATACACCTGTGTGTAGTCACGGAGGTGATTTGGAGGGGTGTCCCAATACTTTTGGCAATATAGTGTATCATGTCTGCGCTAAAGTAAAGAACATATTAGATCCTACACAGCTACATTATGACATCTAGGGGCACCTGAGAGCATTTCTGGGGGGTGCAAGTGAAACAATATAAATCCCCCCCCCCAAAAAAAAGAACATGGGAATATCAATAAAACACAATGTACTCTGTTTTAAGGAATGGGGGAAAAAAGTTCTGGGAGAAGGAGATCCCAGATCACACAATCTTTAAAAAGAAAATGTGCCTTGGCTTTCCTATCGTGAAGTTCTCTCTTCATAAATGAATTATAAAGTACGGTGTGGAGTAAACCTGCGGCATATACTTTCTATTGAAAAATATCGCAATTAGTGTTTTTATTTTCTTCAGAAATGGGTCAGTTAAATAAAAATATTTGCAATTCATTAAGTTCTCTTATGAATTAGTGAACATAAATTGTTGTACATACAGTAACAGATGTAACTAATTGGCAAGCCTCTTCAACGTGATTATGAACTATACAAGCTTATTTTAGTGCAATGGTTGTGCTATTTAGTGGTCATATTGAGAACAAAAGAGTTAATTCTGTGTGACAAGTTGCATACAGAAGATCTGCCAAACTGCTGAATGACCTAAGTAAACCATATTCCCAACTCAATAGGTGATGACATGTGAGCTAGACAGCTTTACCTCTGCTTTAAACTAATCCAGATGTCATTGCAAAGATGACAGAATGCATTGAAATATAAAGGTGTCCTTTGATGTTTGAAGGAGTCTATATTGACATGCACAATCTGAATATCTGTTAACTGTCTATGACTAGTGATGATGCATAAAAAGCAAGCATAGATATAAGAAAAAAAAAAAAAAAAATTCTTTATGTTACGCAGTCATTGCTGTTACAAAAAAGTTTTTTTTTCTTACTAAAGTTAAATATTGTTTTCCTTTTTAATATGTTTCAGACAATGGTTCAGATCATTATTGCACTTAATATTGGGTTAATTACAAAAAAAAATCCAAATTTAAGAAATGTAATGTTGCACTTCTGCAGTTACACTTTCGGACTTTAATGAGACAAAGTAATGTAAGTAGGACTGATGTTAGATGAGCAACTAGGAGACCACCTACCATCTCACAGGGAGTTGTTTCCTTCCTGTTTAGACCAGCGAGATTACTGATCCTTCGCTAGCAAGCAAGATTCTCTTTTGTTCTAGGCCAACAAGGGTTTATTAGGGTAAGTGTTATGCAGGCCATAGATGGGGAGAAAACAGACCGTTTTTTTAACAAAAAAACGAAAAATCGGTAGTTCAATAGGCCAACGTTACCACCAACAGTAAAAAAAAAACGGACGATTTTCTTCCCGTCTACGGCCGGCATTTAATTACTGCAGAGAGCCCCGCTATTATATTTGACATAAAAAAGTATTGCGGTTGCAACATTGTATCTATTTGTATCCATTTCGGATACAGATGAGTTTTTTCGGATACAAATAGATACATTGTTGCAACCGCAATACTTTTTCATGTCAAATATAATAGCGGACTGGAATTTTTCTTTCTCTTTTTCTTCTTTCTCTTCCTCTTCTTCTTTCTCTTCTTCTCTTCTTCTTTCTCTTCTTCTCTTTCTTCTTCTTCTTTCTCTTCTTCTTCTTCTTTCTTCTTCTTCTTCTTCTTTCTCTTCTTCTTCTTTCTCTTCTTCTTCTTTCTCCTCTTCTTCTTTCTCCTCTTCTTCTTTCTCCTCTTCCTCTTCTTCTTCTTCTTCTTTCTTTCTCTTCTTCTTCTTCTTCTACTTTCTCTTCTTCTTCTTCTTCTTCTTTCTCTTCTTCTTCTTCCTCTTCTTCTTCTTCTTCTTCCTCTTATTTCTCTTCTTCTTATTTCTCTTCTTCTTCTTCCTCTTCTTCCTCTTCTTCTTCTTCTTCTTTCTCTTCTTCTTCTTCTTATTTCTCTCTTCTTCTTCTTTCTCTTCTTCCTCTTCCTCTTCCTCTTCTTCTTCTTCTTTCTCTTCTTCTTCTGCTTCCTCTTATTTCTCTTCTTCTTCTTTCTTTCTCTTCTTCTTCTTCCTCTTATTTCTCTTCTTTTTCTTCCTCTTATTTCTCCTCTTCTTCTTTCTCTTCTTCTTCTTCTTTCTTCTTCTTCTTCTCCTCCTTCTTCTTCTTCTTCTTTCTCTTCTTCTTCTTCTTCTTCTTCTTCTTTCTCTTCTTTCTCTTCTTCTTTCTCTTCTTTCTCTTCTTCTTCTTCTTCTTCTTTCTCTTCTTCTTCTTTCTCTTCTTCTTCTTTCTCTTCTTCTTTCTCCATCTTTTTCTTCTTCTTTCTCTTCTTTCTCTTCTTCTTCTTCTTCTTTTTCTTGCAGGTCACGGCTCATGCGCAGATTTTTTATCGGTAAAAAGATCGTCTGATTTGCCCATCATTGCCGCGAAAATCGGCCGATCGTCAAAATCGGACGATTTTTTTCCAACTTTACCGATCAAAAAAATCTGACAAAATCCAGAAAACCGGCTGACCAATTAACCCATTAACGGTGCGAAAATCAGCTGATTTTTTTTTTTTTCAGCCGAAAAATCAGCCGATTTTCAACCCATCTATGGCCTGCATTACACCTGCTGATTCTGCTGCTGGTAATGTGTGGCTGGCAGCTTATTTGCCCACCTGACAGCGGCCTAACTAATGAGCACTTTCTTTTGTTATGATTGCTCCAGTATAATGAATTCTGAAATCTGATGGATTGCTGTGCATTTTTGTGCTTTGCATGCCATCAAGTTCTGTAATACTCTTAACATGTTCTGATTTGACTATAGTAGGAAGAAATTACATATCTACTTTTTGGTAGAATGTTTGACCACTTTTCTAGGATTGAGAAAATAACAAAACACTTTCAGTGATGGTTCCATCATCATCACATTCACAATTTTATAAGCTTCTTCTACTTCAATGCACAAAAAGTGACCACAGATTTTTACTGTTTGATCAACTCTCTCTACAGGTACCCTTGTGGCTACACAGAAACCTTATTTAAAGCCCAACTGCAGCTAAAAGTCGGATAGAGTAAGGAAAGATTAGGGCCTCTGTCAAATTTTTATTATTGTCTGTATCCTTAATGGGGAAAATTTCCCTCACTTACTGTCAGGAAAAAGTAAGGGGATTTTTAGTAGCATGAAAAAGGTTTTAAAGGATAACTAAACCCAAGAACAAAAATTCAGTATGTTGCAGGTTTAGATGTTGTGGTTGCATTCATTTTCTATTGTTTTTTTTTCTTTCAAGCTAATAAATCATTTTCAGCAAAACCTGTTTAATCTTGCTGGATATACAGTGTCCTTGTGAGCTGGATTAAATAATTTCTTCCTTCATAGCTATCTTCCCTTAGTCTAGGTGTACACCTAAGGGTTTTACGGTGTGTGTTGCTTTTGCAGAAACGCACTACAGTCTGTTTAACGTGATTTCCTGTGAGACATGTTTACATCTCTCCGTTTTCACCCAGTGCATTTTATGGAAAGGGTCGGGGACTTTTTTAAATGCAAAACTTTGCGTTTTGGTTCGATAAACTTCAATGGAGATGCTGCAGAAATGCATGTAGTGCGTTTTTTATGCATTTTTGACACGTTTTGACTAGTTTTGTGTTTTAATCTGCGCAACAACAAGTTTAAAAAAAATAAAAACTGCAAAATGCATCAAAAACACGTAAAGAACGCATGTGCAAAAACACAAAACGCACCACAAAAAGCACTGCAGAAATGCATCAAGTGTGAACCTAGCCTCAAAGCAGAAATTTTATTACCTGTCATTACTGGTGCTTTCATACCTTGTTGTAAAATGCTTGTTCTGTCTTCCCCCACTGTGTCATCTTTGAAAAATCCAATGTGCACTTTTTGAATTAGAGCTTCATCTTCTGTGATATCCCTGTTTTAAACCTGGTGGCCACAATGCTGTGTATCCCCCTGGCCACTGGTCTTGTCTCTGCCCCGCTGTAGTTCTTTACAGTGAGTGGTGATGTAATTGAATCCCCACTCGCTGTAGTGGGAGGACTCAGGACTCTCAGACTCCCGGTCTGAGCCACGCCCATTGTTTGTATAAGTGCAGTGGCTGGAATGCCTGAGATGTAGCCCTCGGCACAAATTCTGCGCTCAGCTCCCCCTCCTCTCCTCCTCACGTTTGCTGCCTGTCTCTTTCTGCATTTCTCATGGGAAATGTAGTCTTTTTTTTCCTTGTATGGATGTGACTGCAGCAAGAAAGAAAGTCCTCCTTCCGGTGCTAGGAAGGTGCACGGCTTTCCAAGGGATATCATGACGTCACTGTGGCAGAAAGTCTAGCATTACAACAAAAGTAAGGCACTATCATTTAAACTGTATCAGCAGTGTAACAAAGCTTAGGGAGAGAGATCTGAAATTGTAAAGTTTGCTGGAGCCTGGAGTTCAGCTTTAACTACCAATTGCCCTGCCTCCCATATAGTGATAAATGGATACAGAAATGTTTGACATTCTTAGCAGGAGAGCATTTCAGGGTGACAGCCATTGCTCCCATCATAGATACAGAGGAGGGGTGACATAACCACCCAGGGACTGGAAGACTGAAGGATTACCAGGTGAAAATTAAGCAAAAGAGGCTTAAAAAAATTAAACAAATGCAGCCACCACTCCAAGTACTAGTAATCTCCAATATATTACATTTTTGGTTTTGGGTTTAAATACACTTTATTTGCTTTCTGTTAAGTCCTGTCTTGTTCTGTGCTAATGACAACCTCACATACTGTTTTTCTTGAATGGGCATCTCACTGGTAGGAAGTAAGGGAAAAAATCGCCCCAATGGGGTCAGAGACAGAAGTAATAAACTGACATAAATGTAATCTATTTTCCACTGTTCTCTAAAACTAAAAGGAAATGTGCTCAAGTTTTTACAGCCGCTGCTAGGGGCGTCAGACATTTTTTTTCTACTGCTTTTAAACCCCCCTGCATGTTTTCCT